GGGGGGAGGGAAGGACAAGGCTACATTGCTTATTGTAGCCACACTAAAAATCAAACTGTTTGAATGACAGCCTTCTGTTGCTTGGGCCATCCTCTGCAGTGAAGTGGCTGGGTGCCCGGAGCCTCCCCCTCCGCGTTCTTGGGCGTCTGGGTGAGGAGGCTATGGAACATGGGGAGGAGGTTAGGCAGTTATACAGTGGCTGCAGCGGGGGTCTGTGCTCTTGTTGGCTTTCCTGCAGCTCCAACAGATGCTTCATCATGTCCGTTTGCTCCCCCATTAGCCTCAGCATCACGTCCTCCGCTCTTCGCGCTCACTTAATTCTTTCCTGGCCTCTGCCACTGAATGCCTCCATGCATTAAGCTGTGCCCTATCAGTGTGGGAGGACTGCATGAGCTCGGCAAACATGTCATCGCGAGTGCGTTTTTTTCGCCTTCTAATCTGCGATAACCTCAGGGACGGAGATGATAGGGGGAGCGTAGAAACATTCTACGCTCTACGGTTCTTGGGGGATTGCATGGTCACCTGTGCTGCTGAGTTTGCCACGCTGACCAAACAGGAAATGAAATTCAAAAGTTCCCGGGGCTTTTCCTGTGTTCCTGGCTAGTGCATGGGAGTTCAAAGTGCTGCCCAGAGTGGTCACAATGGAGCATTCTGGGATAGCTCCTGGAGGCCATACCGTAGATTTGCGTCCACACTACCCCAAATTTGACTCACCAAAGTCGATTTTAGTGCTACTCCCCTCACTGGGGAGGAGTACAGAAGTCGATTTTAAGAGCCCTTTAGGTCGACGGAACGGGGTTGGTTGTGTGGACGCATTCATTTTTAAATCGACCTAACGCGGCTAAATTCGACCTAACCCCGTAATGTAGACCAGGCCTCAGCAAAAACAACGAGGAGTCCTTGTGGCACCTTAGAGACTAACAAATTTATTTGGGCATAAGCTTTTGAGGGCTAAAACCCACTTCATCAGATGCATGGAGTGAAAAATACAGTAAGCAGTATATATATTACAGCACATGAAAAGATGGGACTTACTTACTTACTGTATTTTTCACTCCATGCATCTGATGAAGTGGGTTTTAGCTCATGAAAGCTTATGCACAAATAAATTTGTTAGTCTCTAAGGTGCCACAAGGACTCCTCGTTGTTATATATTGACCTGGGTCTGGGGCTTGGTCCTTTGGGATTGGGAGAACCTTTTTTCTTTTACTGGGGCATTGGAATGGAATTGTTTGTATGACTTATGGTTAGCCAGTGGGGTGAGACCAAAGTCCTCTCTGTTTGGCTAGTTTGGTGTGCTTTATTAATAAAGAACACCCAGCTTTCAGCTGTGACTGCCCTGTTCTAAGCAATTTGTCCTGAATTGATACTCTCAGTTGTGTCTCACCAAAGGCAGCATCATTACACCTGCTGCAGGGATCTCCATCTGCTGATCCAAGCCATCTGCTCTACAAATAGTGCTGAGGTGGGGGGATGAGGATAAGGATGTCATGTTGTGTTTTTTGCTGTTCTCCACTGTTGTTGCACAATGTCACTTCTCCCTTGGGGTATGGGTGTCTCTCCCTGTCCAGAATCAGCGCAAATTCCTTTCTTAGCTATTCCCAGGTTGGACTGCTCCCACAAGCCTCGCAGCTTGGCAGCATTTGGTGCTAGTGTAGTGCAATCCCACAATAAAGCGGGTGCCACATTCTGTTATTCAGTGCAGGTGAATCAAGATGGTCTTTTCTAGGAGTGTGCTTCCCAAGGGCCTGATGTCCTTCCTTTGTATGCAGGGCTAGGTCTGAGTCTCAGGCAGCACATAACCCCGTGGCTGCACACAGCCATATAGTTTGGGGTTCCTGATTTGTCAGGACCCCCCCCCCACTATAGAACCCTCTATAACCCCCATAAGAACATTTTACACTTCTGGATCAGCTGCCACAACAGTCTCAAAGCACTTCCCAGCCATTAACCCTGACAGCCCCGACAAGCAGGGGAGACTCCTTTGCCACATTTTCCAGATGAGGCAAAGAGCAGGGAACCAAATTAACGGAGGTCACTAAGAGAGTCACTGGTGAGAACGGAACTGGGCTCTCTGGCCATCCCCACCCCACTAAGGCCAGACTTGGAGGGGGATTGTAACCCCGATGGGGGCAGGGAGGCTGATGCTGGGAAGAAGGGCCCTACCACCTCCGCAGCAAGTGGCTGACCTGCGGCATCCCTGCAGCACAGCCAGGGCTTGGGCAGGAGGCCTGGGATATGTGAGAAACAGACTGTGAACTGCCCTGACATTTCAGCCATGGCTGTTTGTGGTTCCCTGTGCCCAGAGTGGGGTGATGGGTTTTCCTTTAACCTTTCCCATTTCTCCCCCCCCCCTACTTTTTGTAATTAGTTGCTATTTAATAAATTGTATTTGCTTTAAACTGTATGTAATGATCAGTGTGTCAGGGAAGCGTCCAGAGCGGAGAGAATACCCTGGAGTGGGGACACCCTAGTCCCTGTCTTAAGTGACCATGACAAGACTGGGGGTCAAGCCCCCAGGAATCCTGGGCCCAGCCTCGTTGGGGTTAAGAGGACTCTGCCACACTGGAGTGTGGAAAGGGAGCCCTCAAGGGCAGGGAGGCCTCTGGGTAAAGGGAGTGAGGACTGATCCTTTCACTAGCCCCTTTCACCGGGGGCTAGCAGTCCTTCCTGCGTATAAGCCAGGAAAGTTCCCCACAATAGCGGGATCATTCCCCCACTTATACAGGTCTCCCCTCTGATGCCCCTGGGAACCCAATGGAGGGAAGGTTGGCGTAGGAGGATGAAGGTTTCTTTGTAACACAGGCACCATCTCTCCGAAGTAGGGTAAGTTCAGTTGGCATGACCACTGGCTGCTCCTCACCCCACTTTCCCCACGCCAAGAACCCGAGCCCCGCCTGCAGCCCCCGCTCTCACTGCCGCAGCCGGGGTCCCCTTCACGGGCAGCGCGGTGTCTTCTTCTCGCCCCGGCTCGGGGTTGCCCGACCTCGGCCCCCAGCCCTGCCCGGATCCGGGCCCCTCCGGGGGCAGCCGGCCTAGCCAATCGGGTAGCTCCTCCGCAGCCTGGAGGCCGGGATGAGATCACTCCCGGCCCAGGCAGGCGGCCCCTGCTGGCGGTGCGCCAGCCTCCGCCTCTGCCCTCTTCGCCCGCGGAGTTCGCTGCGAGGCCTGCCTTGTCCGGCCGGCTCGGAGCCCTGACCGCCGCCCCCCCTAGCAGGCGGGGGAAGAACCCGGCCGGTTCTTCTGCGAGTTGCTGCCGCCGATCCTGGCAGGGTGAGTGCTCGCGGGGCCATTGTTTGAATGAGAGGCCGGGAGGGGAGCAGCCCCCAGGTGCTGGAGGGAGAGAAACTGGGCCCGGCCGGGGGGGGGTGTGTGTTCAGCCGTCGCCTCTTGCAGTTCCCCTGCGAGTTTGCAAGGAGTGGGCTGCCCCATGCTTGCGGGCAGGGTGGGGCTAGCCAAAGCACCAGGGGAGTTAGGCGGTGTGTACCTAACTCCCCTGGGTGCTTTGGCTAACCCCACCCGAGCCACGCACCCCTTTATAGTGTGTAGCTCTCTTGCCACATATTTATCTATGCCTATCTACGAGAGACGCGCTGCATTACGCGTCTCATAAAAATCACTTATTAACTTCAGTCTTAGAACCCCTAGGAGCTCTGCCTGGCTGCGGGACCGAGACATCCCTAGGAGTTTCCTGCTGGATTGGGAACATTTTGATAGGGAGCAAAGAGCCAACGTGGACTGGACTGGCTTTCGGAGCTGGAGGCTGCTTGGCGTGGTCCGCAGGCAGTAGGGAGTACTGTGGAGTTCAGTGCGGGAAGAAGCTGGCTAGCTGCTGTTTCTCTGTCACGTGCCTAGAGCAGGCGGGTTGCTGGCCAGAGCCAGATGCCTGAGTGACTGAAGGGACGGGGGGATCCAAGGCATCAATATAAGATTCTCTGCCTAGGGTGTCCTGGGGAAAGGGAGGGCCACACTTCACACTCCCCCATCTAGACAGGAATCAGACCTGCTTGGGAGACTGCGCTGCTGGGAAGGGATTGGATTCTCTGGCTCCTGGTTAGGATATTATGCTATCCACCACTGTGGGCATCATGTTCTCTCCCCCCACCCTCTTATGGTTCCTGGAAGTAGCTGCCTCAGTAGCATGGTGCATGTGGCAGTACTGTGGGGAAATGATGATTGCAGAGCTTTGATGTCAGGCTGGGAGGTAGTGCTCACAAAACTGCAGGCACACAGCATTGGTTTAGTGGCATTGTTGCAGGCACAGGGTAGGCACTTGACCCCAGACCTAGTTTCATCACGGAGCTCCGTGTGAAACAAATCCCTGTGTGCAGTTCCCACTAGGCAATGGGTGCCTATAAGTATGCCAGTTGGCTCCAGTTAAAAGGGACATTGCCAACTTGAAAATTATATTTCCCTCTGAAAATACCTGCTGTTGTTACAGATCACACTTTGATTCCTATGGGTGAAAGAGACAAGAGGGGGCAACAACTCTATTTCTTTTCCAGTTCATTTTGTGCATTTGACAACAATTGCTGTGTAGCCGGTTTCATTGTTTTGTTGCAATCAGGTGCTATTCTCATCTCATAGCTTAGCATGAGGACATCATTCCTAGTCCATACTCCTCGGCAAGGTGCTCACTTATGGCACGCTCTGTCCCAGGCCCTGGTCTGCAGGAAACTCACCCCTTCACATCTTAATAGATTTATAAGGCCAGGATGGATCACTGTGATCTAGCCTGGCCTGCATGACACAGACCTTAGAATTTCCCTCAGTGATTGCTCATTTAAACCCTATCTTCTGGGTGAGCAAATGTGTAAGTACATATATGGCCCCCATCATCACAGAATGCACTCATCTTCACAAGTACCATCACCCCCATAAGGTGCCACAAGTACTCTCCTGTTCTTTTTGCAGATACAGACTAACACGACTGCTACTCTGAAACCTATCATCCCCGTAGTCTCCCTGGTGATTGGTCCCTAAGTCACTTGACCAAGTCCCCCACTCTTCAGCACAGCAGGGAATTAAACCCAGCTCTCCTGAGTCTCTAGCTAGCACCCTAAGCAGTGGACAGTCCTTCCTGTGTACCAGGCCCTGCAAGAGGGTGGTCAGCAATGGAGCTGAAACAGAAACCAAAGAGGCAGCTGGCAGGAGCGTGCAGAGTGGAAGGGCCTGAGCATGTTTATTGGTATTGGTCTCCGTTCCACCCCAAAGACCCTTCTGAACACGAGCAAGACAACACGAACCCCTCTAACAGCTTTAAAGGAATAGGGATATTTTAAAATCAATACTATTTAAAGGGGGATCTTAAAAAAAAAAATCCAGTTTCTGATAATTTGACAATTAGAGTGGACAGTATCCCTTTAAATGACCTTCCCCTCCCCTCACCCCCCAGTTCTGAGGTATGATGGGAAAAGTAGAGATGGCATCAGAGAAGTTTAGAATAGTTTTCTAAGGCTCTTTAAGAATGATAAAGTTTGGGCACTGAACCTCCAACACTCATCTCTCACTGGTCTGGAATTGGTGCTGGCTGTTTGTCTTTGCTCCAGAAAGAAGAAATGAGAAAGTCTTTCAGCATCCTGTCTTCTTGTGCCATGGCAGGAAGACAGGAGAATCTATGGTTGGGGCCTGAGGGCGGAGAGAGCAAAGCTGGATCTAGGAGGAAGCCAGCTGGGAGGGGGAGAAGCAAAGATGGATGCAAGAGGAAGCCAGTCACCCAGCATGGTTGTCTGGAAACTTGTAGACTGTGCTTCATTGATTGGGAGTTCTGGTAGCCCACAGCATTGTCCTGGCACTTAACTAAGGGGAGGTGCCAGGTCTGTAGTGTGCAGACCCTTCAATAAGAAAGTGCTTGGGTTTATTTAATTGCCTAGGTGGTTTGTCTGTTTTCAGAGCTGATTGGCCAGAGAGAGCATACTCCAAGGTCCATTCAGCATATGCAGGCTGAGCCCAGTATGTCCCTCTGCTCTCCTCCCACACTTCACAAACGAGATCAATGGTGGCATTATTTACATGCCAGGTTTTGACACACAGGAATCGGTCCCTGCCTGCGGTTTTGGCCAGAGGCAGCCAGATAACACTGATTCCCCTCCCCCCCCCCGTTTGAAAGAGATGCTTCATTCAGAGCCGGGATGTACAGAAGGGATGATTACACCATAGAATGATTGCCTCTTCATCAGCTTATGAAGCACAGTCACTCTGTGGTGCCTGAAATAATGGAGAGAGAAAAGAGTCTCTTCCAGGGGTTGGGGGGCAGGAAAAACAATGTCCAGGGCCTGGCAGGGGTGGTGTAGTGGTCTGAGCATCAGGTGTGATAGGTTAGTGCTATCTGCACACGTGATCAGCTTAGCCCTTCCAAGGCAGGTAAATGGGAGACACCTGTGTGGGGAACTTTAAGGAGAGATCATAAAACCTCAAGGCTCTGCTTGCCCGGCCTGGCTGAGCTGGGCTAGATTGGCCCCTAGTGCCCACAGGCATGCTGCATGGGCACAGGGGCCATTCTCTAGTGAGACAGATCTTGCCTGGGGGCTCCCAGGAGTCACACCAGTGTGACAGCTCTACTGTCCTCAGAGAGAGTGGGGTGAGCTTTGTGGCCTGACTCTCGTCCCACCCTCTTCCAGGCAGCTGGCAACCATGGGGCCAAGAGAAGGGGGCAGAACCTGCATTTTTAGCCCCACTATGGCTGGGCCCTGTGCATGGGCTTCTTGCTTTCACCTTAGGCCCCCAGGCAGAGGCTGGCTGCAGCTTGGTCCTAGCAATCCCAGAACCCTTTTCCTAGGAAGTTATGCTCAGGTGTTCCTGATCTAAATTGCTCTGGTGTCCAGTCTGTCCTCTCACTGTGCTGTGCACAGGTTGGCTGCTGCCCTGCACACCAGAGGTGGATTTTGCAGCCCTGCTGAAATGCAGCCTTTGGGCTGGAGATGGGCAGAGCTAGAGGCATATAAATGACCCTAGTTATGTTACTTTATTATGGTTGGTTCAGTCATGGAGGAATCTGGCCTCTCTAGCATCCCAAGTCCTCTGAGAGGGTTGGCAGGGCAGGGGAGAGTGCCTGGGGTCTATTTCATGGGCAACCACCACCTTCTATCCCATGCTTCAATGCTATTCCTCCCATGGTGTTACCCATGGCCCAGCCTAGCTGGGCCCCCCCATACATTTCCTCTTGATCACCAACAGCTGTGGAACCTCACCAATAACTGAAGGGGTTGCCAGAGACTAGGAGTGAGGGTATCGCAGCCAGGACAGAGTAGCTGGAGGTAGAGTAGGGGTGCAGAGCTGGGACTGAGGCTGGGTCCCTGCACACCTCAGCCCAGATTTTCAAACTCAAATACGAATACTTATTTATTGTGGTAATGCCTAGGACCTGCATAAGTTAGGGCCCCATTGTGCTAGGTGCTGTATTGTGACAGGGTTTGACTCACTCCTGCTGGCTTTCCTGGGGATTAGCTCTGTATGCTGGTGTGCTCTCTTGTGGTGATCTCACCACCATCACTTCTGCTCCAGGGACCTATGTCACTCCCAGAATCACAGCATCCTCTTCCTGACACAGCCCTTTGGCCGTGCCACACTCCATGCTCCCCCCTTCCAGGGAACAGTATCACAGTCCCTCAGTCCAGCCACTTTCTCAGTGGCGAGTGGGGGCAGTGGTGACCCAGGCCCACCCACTGCTCCAGATCCTGGTTCAGTGACCCTGTAGGTGGCCACCACTTGCTGCATCCCCACTGACTCCTCTGTAGATCTCCCTGGGCCACTTCCCCGCAGCCCTAGCACTCTTTGCCCTTGCCTCAGGGCCTCAGCCTGCAGATCCCTGCAGCCCACCAGGAGCTCCCCAGGTCTCTGCCTGCAGCACTGCTATGTCCAGGGTGCTTGTTCCCCTCCGCCTGCAAGGCAGCCAATCCACCTTCCTCCTCAAGCTTCAGGGGGTGACAAACTGTTCTGTACTGCAGCTCTTCTTATATGGGCCTGTCCAACCCTGACTGGCTGCTCCTATAAGCCCTTCGGTGATTGGCTGCCTCCTACACAGCCTCCCTAGGGCTCTATTAACCCCTGAGAGAACTGGCTATTCTGCTCCATGGTGTCCCCAGTTTTCCCTCTGTGCTTTTGCATTATCTTGCGCTATTCGCAAGGCCAGCTTGGTGGCTTTCAGTTTTTCCCATAACCCTGGCCCTTGCTCCACAGGCTCTCCCAGTATCCCTTTTCCCAGGGTCTGAGCCCCTACCACAGCTTGTCTTGCTAGTGTGGATTCCCTTGTCTGTCTGGGTCCTCTCCATCCC